AAATATATATATATCTATCTATATATACACAAACTTGTGTGAGATGTGCAATACCAGGAATGGGTTTTGTTGTGGGGTTCCCCCCCCCGTTCGTTTTTGCTTTTAAACAAGGTATTTGAAAAGGCACTTCTCAAGGAAGAAGTGGCTGGAGTTTTGGAGGTGTGGACAAACTAAAGCATAGAGTAATGCAATACAATCCCTGATTTTGAAGATTAATACAACAGTAGTAACAGCAGCTTAAAGATTTAACAAAACAATCTCTTACAGATTGATTTTAAATACTCAGATCTATATAATACAGACAATTCAAATGTGAAGCTGTGTCCATCTCTGGCAGTATACAATCTAAAAGCTGAAAAGGCTCAGCAAGGTTTCTTAATGTGCTTTATTTATAACATGGCACTGCAAAAAACATTGCTACTGAGCTATTTCTGGGTTGTCTATATCACATTTGTATCTATTTTACTCAATAAAGTTCTCTGGATTCTGAGATTTTTTTTCAGCCAAGTCCTTTCCATCATTATCCCACACCAGAGTATCTCATGTCCTAGTGGTAAACAGAGAGGAGTTCAAGTCCTCCTTGGAAGCAGTGGGCGCTGGTGCCTACCTCAAGGAAAGGACAGAGCCCAACAAAAGCAGAGCATGGCAGCAACGTATACATCACAGCCACTTTAAAAAAAAGAGCGGCTGTGACAATCCTGCTAGAGTAGATTTTGAGCCATGGTTTATTTGTGGTACTGTTTTTCTGTTCTTGAGTCACCACTATGTACATTTGTTAGCATGAATGATGTACCTAATGTGTTATTTTTAATCTAAATTTCAATTAAAATGTGAGTTTTCGAACTTTAACAGGAGTCCGACTACCTTAATTCAAACATATTGGACAAGTTGAGCCACAGCAAGGTAGCTTTAATTGTAGCTTTAGTAGCATTTAAAATCCCAGCCCACTGATGTTAGCGTTTCAGATTTCCGTCTGACTTTAACAATTATTACCACTTACTGATCAAAAAGCATGTCATATGAAATTGTAGCTATGTGTTATACAATACAGTTGCATTAAAGAGACCTTCTAATTGAATATATGTCTGACAAATGCTCTTCATTTTGCAACTAAACCATCGCAATTCCTTTCTCATGAAAAGGAGTAGCGAAGGTTGTAAAACACTGCTTAATCACACAGACTTTTAAAATGGTGTTTGCCACAATGTGTCTTACCTTTCACCTGTGACTTGACAAACACTAGGGAGAGGTTACATACTGTTCTCTAAGCAAATTTAAGACAGAACTAGGAGTAAGGCTTTCAGTAGTTTACAGAAAAGTCAGGCTGTCACTTTTGTCTCATAGCTGCTACGGTCTATTTCCATTAAATTTACATGTAATTAATTGCATTTAGTTTAATTACACTTCTAACAGTTTCTAAATTTCCAAGAAGTAACTCTTTGTTAAAACTTGGAACATTTAGAAACCTACAGTCCGGAAGAAGTTAGGGGATAGGTGCCACTCAATGCACCACCACATTAGTCATCTTTATGGACTTCAAAGCAGGTATAGATACAGCAGGTATTCTACAAATACAAAATACTGCTGAAAAAGTTACCAAGTACTGATTTGTACAGCTAAAAATATTACCTCCCTTTTTCAGTAAGGTTAAATGGGAGTTGGCAATAGAGAACACAGAGTTCAATTCTCTAATTGTGTGAATTATTACAGATTCTGTGTTCTAGTAGCTTCCTCCCAAAGCTCCAGCTAGGTTTGGAATGGTGATGCATTGAGAAAGTGAATGTGCATTATTAATATCAGAGGGACAGGATCATAAAGATGTTGTCTTGCTCCTGTAATTCACTGAAAACTTCTTTTCAAATAGATGCCTTTGATTTGATTTGATTATCTTCGTATCAGTGGAATTCTGAGAGCGTAGGCATCGGTGTCCCTAACCAGCTTTAGGTATCACTCAGATGCAGCGGGATCAGTAATTTTGTCCAGCTGAGAAAGGTAAATAATAAAGAATTCCAAATTTAATCACGTTATTCTGACCACTTCCAACTGCTCTCTTACCTTGGACAGAAAGTATCACCCCACTGCCCAATCCAACATATCCACTTTTTTCTCTAAAACATCAAAAATACATGCATAGCAAAGACAACAGCCCTGCAGTGCAAACGGCAACACATGCTTTGGCATACGTGCAGTGACTACAACTCAGATGATATACGATTGCTTAATCTGGCTATCAACATTGTAAAATCTACTTGCAGCACTGCCAGCTGAAACAGTGGCAGAGCAGCTGATGCCGCAGCGGCATCAGTGGTCAGAGGCAGCTGTTTTTTGAAACGGCCTGGGCTCCAGCCCGTGTATCCTACCCAGCCCTAGCTGTACACATCTGCAAAGCAGAAAAGCTGAGCGAATGCTCAGAAGTAACCGGACTCTACAGCCCACTGTGTTTTCCAGGCCTGCATTAGCCCTGTTCCAAGCACACTGCCAATTACTAATACAATCTCCAACTTCATCACCAAAAATCGGTCTCTGAAATTTCCCATCTCACCAGCCGAACGTTTTCCCTTCCTGAACCATGGGTACAAAGAAGTAAAACCTGGTCTTCTCAACGCTTTGTAGAGCAGCTCCTTTCTGCTGAAGTGTTCTCCTTCAGCTCTGAGTGAACTAAGAACAATGTGTAGGAACACTCATTGAAGCAGGACAGTGCATTTTTTTATGTATATATATATACACAGATTACTTAGTCACGTCGCAGCACCAAGTGTATTGAGAGATGGTAAAACAAACAAATCAAAAGCACTGTTGTTTGGTGTAATCACTATCCAAGTCATCCAACAGAAAGCACATTTTAGATGAGCTGTATATGCTTCCATTAAACAGCTGGACAATCAATTTCTTTCTTTCCAGAAAAAAATGTACAGCAGCATGATCCACAAGTCATACTTCCCATCAACTCTGTTTTTTTCCCCCTCAGTAGTGTGTGACATAGTATCTAGTTTAATCCTAGCATAAAGTTAAACTAGTCTTTTGCTGCTGAGATGAGAAATCTGTACCACTTCTTTTGTAAGTCTTCCTGATTTCTCTGCTGATGAGAAAAAAAGCTACTTGCAGACATAAAATTAATTTGTAGGAAAAAAAGTACAAACTAATTCTTACACATTTTAATGTAACTGAGTGAAACCTAACACACATTTGTTGTGTGTTTTAATGACCTGATCCACTGTGCCTTACTACTGATTCATAACCAGAATGCTGTAGATGCATGCCTTTTCCTTGACAGATACATCTTTCCAGAAGTATCACTGAGTATTTTTAATCACAGTTCTCTTCCCTGTGCTGCCTTCTCTGTGTGTGCATGCCTTCCCAACTTCATGCTTACAGCTTCTTGAGAAAAACTATACTCAGCAAGCCAGAGGAATTATCTCCCCACAACAGCACTTAAATTGTCTAATAATTCTAACCATAAAACATGACTGGATCATGCTGCACAACTGTCCTTACAAGGAAGTACAAAAACTGTTCCTTTAGTCTGCTGCCACTGCCGTCGTAGATCTGTAAATTACAAAGAAACAGATCAAGTCGATAAGAATTTCACTACTAAATGATGCATGCATGCGCAAGTGTCTTCAAAAACTCAGGTCTGCTATCTCCCAAAATAATCCTGACCGTACCTCTGAGCACTGTTCTCTCTATTGTGCATTTGCAAATGTAATTACGTCACAGTGGTCTAGATGAAGTCGTTTTGACCTTCAAAGAAAACCCAGTACTAAATTCAGTACTACAGAGCAGATATTACAGTTGGTATTACACGACAAAAATCAACAGACTGTGATAATGCCTAAAAAAAAAGAAAAAGCATGACACAGCAGTGATACAGAAATGTCAATTCATAGGCAGAAATTAGAAAAATAAACACTACCAAAGCAATGCTGTTTTCAGCAACTTCATTTTACTTTCAATAGTGTTTTAGGATTCTTAATACCTGTAGAATTTCATTCACTAATGACAGAACAGGTTTAGATTTTAACCCTTGTAAGTTTACAGCACAAGGAAGTGGGCTGCAAGTGTTTAAGAATTTTCTTCGTAACAGTTGAGTAGACTAATTCTCAATACCCTAATGTATTATTTTCATAGTGGACAGTTTGCTTCCCCATTTCAGCAGAATTACAGCGTTTATATACACAATTATAAAAAACAAGTGAGACTTTTACCTAGATCATCCGCCCTGCACGTTATCCTGATTGTTAGAAGAAAAATCCCTATATTGGTCAAAACTATACACAGCAAACACCCAGGAAAAAAGTCTTTTTTTATTCTATGACACTGTGTTAATACAATAAATATACAAAACTTCTGAACTACTCAGACATGCAACAAAGAGACAGAAGAAGTGCATTTGTACAGAACCATGACATTCACCAGGATGGCAGAGCATTGTTAGTAATTTACAAAATATACAAACATCCCTCAGATAAATAAAACCAACTCCTAAATTACAGATCAATGACTACTGACGTTCCAGTGTTTAAACTTCATACTTCGTACTCAATTTGCCACAATACTACAAAATGACAACTTAAGTGGGTGCCATACTCTGATTAATTAATAAGAGACTGTAAAATCTAGTTTTTGTTAGGTACAAAATACTTTAACAAATATCAGACTTCTGTTGTCAAAGCTAAACTCAAACTTCTCCGTCCCTTTTGGGCTGCAAAGTGTCAGAGATTTCTGGTTTAAACAATTCATGTGTAACTGAACCTTGATTTTCACTTAGGGGGTTTAAATCCATACATTCAACCCATGACGTTACAAATCAACGCTCCCTATACATAGAACATTAAATATGTTTTCTCAAAAAGCCTTTAAACATTTTGGGAAAAAATCTACTTGCCAAATTCAGGTTTTATTCCTAATGTTTTTTTCCATAATATATTCTGGTGAATAATGTATGTTGTTATGCTATCTTCAACTTAAGGTAAATTGCACGGATGATGTCCCTGGGATTCCTATCCAAGACATACTAAGAGAATTTCTTAAATTTAGATTTATAAGTAATACATAGTAGAGTTCCTTGATAGAACCCTCAACTTAAGTTTAAAGATTATGAAAAGAACAATCTTGATATACAGCTGCTAGAAGGATGATGCCTGATCTCAACAGAAAATGTTGGCTTTTATCTGGAAAGCTTTTAATAACGTTCCACACAAATTTAAGTTCAATGCTAGCATCTCCACTAGTATGAAATTTTAGAGCCCCTATTACACAGAATATTTAAATTGCTTTTAACTTCATGATGCAGAGAACATTTAGAAACAAGTATATCAATCAATATGAACTTCAGCATAGGTGAAACTATGACATTAATCCAAATTCAAGTTGGATTTAAAGAAATCAGTAAAACAAAGGAGACTAATAGGGACTTCATGCTAACAGTACAATACTGATACAGGGATTAAGCTGGGGGTTTATTTTTTGTAATGCTCTTCTGTTGTTATCAATACAGCGTAGTGAGAAAGAATCTATGAAAGTCGGTCCACATTCAGAACACGATGGGGCCTCAGAATTTTATCCTGTCTTACAAAAGGTGATTCACCTTAAGAGCTGCATTCATGTCAGTCACAGTGTATACTTATACAGGTTGTGGGATGTGGTCCTTCCCGTTTCCATTTTCTAAAACAGAGTTCGAAAAAACAGCCCAAGTATTGTGCATAAGACTCATGAGGCAATCCAAGAATATAAATAAGTCTTCAAAGGAGAGAAACATGATACTAAGACCTGATTCTATTCTAGAATATTATGATGGTATGTACCATTATGGATTGTTCAGTTCCACAGCACCAATTTAACCTTAGACCTCCAGTCCAATGAGTTAAAATTTAACTTTGTTAAAGATGAAGATTTCTCACTTTTCCAAGTCAAAGTAGTTTAAAAGCTTTTTTGCCCCAGCTTAAATCACATCACAAAGATGGCTGAGTTAACGTTAAAATGAATTCAAGTATCTGTTAAATGCCATTGCTTAAAAAGCTTGGGTTTAGACAATATTCCTGTTTAAAAATTAAATACTGCATGTTATGGGATTTGGACAAGCAGTAAACAGAGTAACTGACTAGGCTAGAGATTTAGTACCACTGTTAAACACAAATCTACACTTAAAAAAAACAAGCCCCAAAAAATCCCAAATACAACAAAAATACCACTGCACATAGAAGAGGGAAGGGGGGCAAAAAACTAGTGTTCTAGAAGTCAGTATTGGTTTCTTTTCCGCAAAATTATTACCCCAAGACATGAATACTAAAATGAAAAATAGCAAATATATAATCATTTAGCTTTGTGATTGAAACCATCAGTTAACTTCCTTAAACTGTACACTGCATTACACATTCTATTACAGAGAATGTTTATGCACCATAGTCATTTCTCACAGGTAGAGAATACTCCATGAAAATAGATACAAACAAATGCTGTAATTATAAAGTGGCGCAGGTAAATTCTGGACCAAAACACTATTTAAACAAGATCAGGTAACTCAACAGTATTCATGCAAACTTACAGGTTTATATCAAAAGACTTATCCTAAAAAAACCCCAAGAAAAGAATTTATAATGTCTACCCTACTTGTATTTGTCCTCCAGCAGCTGCTAAAATTGCAAAAGCAGTAACCAAACCTAACTTTCTACATCTCTCAGTTTACCCCACTTCTTACAGTAGAAATAGGGAAAACAGTTCTTATGAAGAAAAATAATTGATCCAAAGTGCTTTCCTGAAGTTAAAAAAAATACCAGAGCGAACCACTAAAAAACCTTCCAAATTCTTAACACATTTATTTGATCATTATATACCACAATTAATTCTCAGGCCAATTGTTGAAATTATTTAGCCTCCATAAAATAGGGAAGGCTTTATATTCTAGAATGCAACACCTTAAAGAAGGGCAAAGAATGGTTATCTTTTTAAAATAAATAGATTTATAATAAAATAAACCAAACATTTCCCATTTTATCCATGCACAGCTGCAAAAGAGACAAACATGCTGTGTGAATTTTGATCTTTAGGCTTTTAGGGACTATAGTAAGTGACTGAAAAATAAAGTACAATCAAAGAGAACCGTGATGACTTTTAAAAAACGGTTACCCTTGAACGCGTTTTGAGCTGCACTGGTTGCTGCTGTTGATGCGGCGTTGGCTGCTGCAGTTTGTACAGTTTTGTTGGACATCACTCCTGTTGCAAACTCCTGCTGCGCTTTCTCAAAACTAGCACCAGTCGTGCGGTAGAGACCATGCACCTAGGGAGGTGGAAAAGCAGCGAAAAAACGGTGCTGAGCCTTCCATTTCTTGGTAGTTTAATAGCAAAGTCTCAAACACGAAACAGAGCTGTGTGGTGGGAAAATCTGGTTTGCTCATGTGTTTGGGAGGATCCAGAAATGAGTAAACGGACTTTTTTCCCACAAATCCTACAACTTTTGATAGACCTGCTGCATGCACAGTTTGACTGTAGGAATACCTGTAACTTTCTGCAAGTTCAGACGGGTCTTACAGTTCTTTACTAAAATGTGTGTGGTATCTACTGTCTGAAATAACATATTTAAATACACAAACAGGCTGCATCCTTAGCATAACGCAGGGCTCACAGCTTGCAAAAGTGTCTTCTGTCTCAATTTGTATACAACTTGTCGTACTCACTAGAAGAGCTAGAAAGTGTGCATGTTAAAAGAAACGGCAGGAAACAAAACCAAAAAAGTAGTTTTGAATCCACTGTGTCAATAACATTTTGGTGAACCTTTTTCTACATCAATTTTTAGAAACATTTTAATTTCTTTGATTGATACAGTTACAAGAACAAGCTAAGCTATGACTTGATATTAAAAAGTATAAAATAGCCCAATAATGCAGATGTGTATCTGCTACACTACTGTGATGTCCAATAGCTCTGCATAATAAGCAAAGGTATTAAACAATATGACTTACACACACTCTAAACAATATGTCATATAATCTCTAGTACAACAAAAAACAAATCCTCAGTAACTTCCAGTTACCTCAGTATTAAAATTAAAATGCTATTTCTGATTCAAATTCAATCAAGTCACAATACAGTTGTCATATAATATTGCAAAAACATTTTCATTCAAGTGTAGCAGGACAATTAATGTTGTAACTTTTTTCTTTGTTATAAATGTGACTATTTCTCATCCATAAAGATACATCAGGTCACATGTGAGTATGCAGGTTTTTTTAAAGAATCCAGATACATATGGTAGGAAGAGTGTAATAAAAATTCTCCACCACGCATTTTTCTTGCTTGTTTCTTTCTCCCGTACCTGAGTATTTATGCAGAAAACAAATAAGGAGAAGAGACATCTCCAGGCAACGCTTAAAATTTCTAACTTACTGTAAATAGGCCAGAAGAGTTTGGGTATGTGAAAATCTTTAAGTGTAAATGTAACTGAGATTGAATTATTAGAATTGCCAGCACATCATCAGCAGAATGCTCAGTTACATTTTATCTAAACAACATCAAAAACTTACTAGCATATTAGTATCTAAACTTAGGTCTTCTGGATGGAAATTCACAAAAAGGAACCAAGGGAAAAAAGCATTTTTCTTTGATCTTTCATGCTATGCAATCATTAATTGACAATAAAATGCTAAAATAATAGAAGCAGAGAAATAAAAATCCTTTTCTGAGGTGCCAGGCATCTCCGTCTTCTCTTGATTTGAATGGGAATTATTTTGGTAAGAGCTGAAACTTAGCAATCATTTGAATCACACTTCACTCAGCCTGATGAATCCCCACAGATTGGAAAATCACAACCTGGCATCTACAAGTACAATCGTAGTGTCTAGTGCATTCATCTACCCTTTCATTGTGGGCTTACCTCCCAGTTTCTCTTACTCAGAGCTATTCTTCCCCATTTTAGTTTGCAGAAAATACGTGCATTGTACAAACAGTGTTTCATAACTCCACAACAGTGTAAGCAAAAAAGTACAGCTGTTGATAGGTAAGGCCCACCCCCAAGAAAATAATTTAATCCCCATTACTTTGTGAGAGAGTACCTCTCTCAAGCAGGAAAGCAAAATCCAAATCAAACATAGGAAACTTACCTTTTTAAACATAACTAATGAGATAACAGCAGATGCTGTGAAAAGTGCAGCTATGATTATCATCATAATGCCAACAGGAATACTCTTATTAAGACCAGTAAGAGATGAAATCCACCCACTGAAGGAAAAAGAAAGCGCAAACTTTACTAGCACAGCACATGAACCATTCAACTACAGGTATCCACATCAAGGAAAGCTTTATAACCTCCTGGTTCTAATCAACTTTGAACATTTTTGAAGAAAAAGTCACAGGGAATTTTACATAAGTCAAAGGGAATTTTACATAAGCATATTCTGGCTCTCTAATAAGCTTTTAGAGCTTAGTTTCCATTTTTCCCAATGCATGCAGTGAAATTATATGAAAAATTGTACTAAAGATTATTATCCTTGAGCAGAATTGTGAAGAAATTAGAGAGCTGCTCATCAACTTTTGGGGTTTTTTTTGTCATACTGTCATTTCAGACTGATTTAAGACTATATGATTTCGTGGAAAAGAGAATGTCCCTAAAAAGATAGCTTCTAACTTCTTTAAATATAAAACAAAAACATGCCACACACACACAGCTTCTATGTGGGAAGACTCATTTAACTGTACCCACACAGTGATGCTTTCTCAGTTGAGGTTAATACGATAATTTTTTGAAGTAGGTAGCATCAGATTAACTAATAGAAAAGATTGTTATATGAGTATCGACTTTAAACATTTCTCCATTCTTCAAAATTGAAACACCAACAGAAAAACAGGGTATCAAGCTTGAAACCACAAAAAGCCGGTTGCCTTAAGAAAAATAAAACATTAAGATGGAAATTATTCTTCCACAGAAAAAAAAATAATCTGTAAACTTAAACAACCTTAAAACTTTCCTCTACCTGTTTCAAATTGCTTTTATATCCCCTATGTCCAACTGGACTCTACAAAACTCCAAAATCCAAACTGTAATTAGCATTTTCTGATGATCTGGCTACTTTTCATGCCCCTGCATACACCTTCCCCAAGAATCCTTAAAAGCACACTCCACATACTTGAAGAGTTGGCCTTCTGAAATACTTTTTTATTTTGTTAATGTCAATCAATGTATCTATGAAAAAGCAAAATAGCAGATTTGAGAATAAAAATAATATAACAGGATCTTTCCTTACACTACAATTCTAAAGGAATGCTGTTTTGTCTGTCTTACGTATGTTTGGAGATTAGCAGCAAAAAGCACTGATACAGAGAAGTGTCATTACCCAGCTACAGTACTGTCAGTCATAGCTCTCCATGCTACCAGCTCGGTACTACAACCATGCTTTCAGTTAATTCAAGTTTGTTGGGTTTTTTTCCAAGGATGGTGACTGATTCCCAATAGCTTTTCCTTGTAAAATCTAAATATTAGACCTCAAAGACTCAAATAAAAGATAATATACAAGCATCAAAAAGAAATCTACTATTACAGAATAAGGAGCTGACTCGGACAAATGAGCTTTTCAAATAACATCAAAGATACACCACTATATTCACCAGAATACATTGTTGACTCATTCTTCAAATTTTAGCTATAAATTTCCTTAATAAGTAGTAAGTATATGAATATAATTAGAAATAACTAATGATACAAAATAATACCCAAACAGTACATTATTACTGTCTAAATTATGTTCATTTCTCTAAGTTTTGCTTATGTCTTTACCTTAAATATAGAGCAAATAACATCTCCACACACCACCAAAATAGAGGAGGTGATGTACAAAAGAATAGTTCAAAGTGGTTTATGTTGAAGAACAAAATTTTAATCAGCCTAATTACAGAAGTACCCCAGATTCTTGGGTATGTTTCACCCACTTTTCCTAGTTAAGAGCACTCCAAAAATGCTTTTTTTGAGTGCTAAATGTAAAACTCCAGTGAACACAAGATCTTTTTTGAAAAAATACACAGACTGTATTGCAGTTGCTATATCAAATGAGTGTTTGTCTTGCAGACAGTACAATGCTACAGCAAACAGAATACTCACCAGTTTCCCCATCTTTGAAATCCTGCAGCTTGAAGTACATGTACAGCAAACTGACAGATATATACAAAGAAGAACACAAAGAACCTGAATGAACTGTCACTCCTGAAAGAGGGGGGGGAGGGGGAAAGATTAAAGCAGCCAGAAATTAATGACTTTTTGTAAATACTGTAGTACCGATCTAAAAATTTTTTCTGCATTAACTAGAGGAAAAGTCCTTTCATTTATTGAGAGTAACCTGAAGTATCAGTAATTCTGTGGTTTTGTAGAGTGTTTATTTACAAGAGCTGCTGCCTCTTCTTTAATATATATTTTTGCCACCTGCACCTCTAACTGGGGTGAGAATAGCAGCAAGATACTATTCCTTAGTGTTCTGTTCAGCACACAGCAGGGCCTATTAGGCTAAGCATAGAAGTTTTGCTACAATGCATGAAGAACAGAATTCTGCTCCACTTTCAGACTGAAGTTCACAGTGCTGGCAGGATGGGAAGAGAATATTTTACTTGTAAAAGGAAATAAAATCTAATGTAGAATTACTGATACACAGTGCAGACCAGAACATTGAAGCAGCTGTTGCTTAAAAGCAAAATATACAAAATAGGTTTGCTGTTTAAATTACTAAAACGCGAGCCTGACAAAGACTGAAAGTAAAAAAAAAAGCAAATATAAATGTACAGGCAAAATCTCAACAAAGACCTCAAATTATTACTATTAAAAACTAATGATCATATGATATGCTTGCTACCAGAGTTCTAAAGAAAGTAGAAATCACTTAGTTAAGTCACAGAACCAAATTTTGCTGTTAATAGCTCTTCCTGCAGAAGGGATTTTGTTCATTTCTATTTATTCAACCATTTCAGTTCAATAACTATTTCATTTTCAGCTGAGCAACTGACCAAAAGTTGAATATGCAAGTAGCAGTTTTCCTTTTCCAAACAACGAATATTCACTAAGAAAAACTATGGATTTACTAGAGAGCAAATGCAAGTTAAACTATATGATTCCTCAAAGATGTGTGGGTACAGCAATACCTCCTTGGTTAGCAAAAAGAAACACCTCATTTAGTCTAAAGGTTACACTTAACTGCAATTTCTGGCCATCAATCTTTCTCTACAAGAATTAGTGCATTTTAACTGAGAATATCCTGAATCACTTCCATGCAAAAAAAAAAAATTCCCAAGAAATACTGTAAAAGTACAGGATTTAGAATCTCTACATGCTGATTTTTACCAAAAGAGAGTTCAATTTTGCATGCAAACCAACCATTCTATTCTTAAACACAAAGCTACCACACCTCACGATTGTGATGTCTGCAAAGATTGCTAAAAGCTAGGAAAAATACTACAGTTTGATTACTATATACCTGCTCTGCTCATTCTTAAGAATCTCAGTCTACTTCAATTACAGACACTGTAGGTCACTTAACAATGTAAGAATTAAGTGTAGAGTTTTATGAAGTTCATTCAGGAAGCCAAAAATTTAAGACACTCAACTATTAACCTACTCAAATTCTTGGTGTGAAGGGACAGAGATTTAATGAGAATTTTCCTTAAAATTGTTATCAGTCCAATGCAAAGTTAAATATTTCCTACAAATAATTTTTCAAAGGTAGAAGCTATAAATACTTTAAAGGATATTCCATTATATTCCTATCTATTGTCATCTATGTTTCAAATACAACAACTGAATTAATGACAAACATACTACTTGTTCTAATGAAAGCATATTAAAGGATTATCATAATGATAATCCAGCAAATTCTGGAATGTTAATGCATTTTGACAAGTTTTTAAATATCCTAAGTCAAGCTGAAGTTGTTACCTGAAAGCTCCATAAAGTGGTCTGTACCAGCAGACAAAAGAACAAGGGGTAAAAAGCAAGAACCAGAGAATACTCAATCCAAAATCAACCCCTCGCGTAGCATCAACGTAAAACCAGGCCAAACATCCAAAGATATTAAGAAACAGTGTCACTGTATGGACTGTAGAAGCAAAAGCAAAATAGTCTTAATTAAGTTATGTTTATACAGTAAATTATTACAACTGTTAAGGTAATACTCAAACTGAGCATTTTTAAACAAAACATCAGCATGCTGACAATAAATCAATAACTTCTCAATACCCTCTGCAATAAGCTGATTTTTATAAAGTTTTCTAACTTTCAAGTAAACCCTGTATTCACAAGTGAAAGTACTGAACATGAAAATTCAAGTACTATCAGGTATATATGGTGAAGGAAAAAATCCTGTCATAAAAATAAAACATTTTCAAAATTAAAATAATGAAAAAAGACGTTTCTACTGCTGCAATAATTGATACTTTTTCTACAGTAATAACTGCATACAGATATTTAAGACTATTGAATATTTTTTGAGAGAAAGCTTATAAATGATATAAAATGCATTATAAATTTACCACTGTACCCATTCTAACTTGAAAATAAAAATTTACAAAAAAAATCTTTCAATTAAAAGCTCTTTGTCTTCCATGTAATAAAGAAAAAAACCCCACTTAGTAAAAATGTTTCTCAGTAAAACAAGAACTGCAAGAAGCTGTTCTAGATGCTTTAATACATATTGCATATTCAAATATTTCTTACAACATTGGTCTTAAACACCTGCCTTTTTGGTGCTCCGTTCTTAGCTCAATACTAGCATTTTCTCATTGGCAGACCTCGTTACAGGTTAACTATTGAATTTCTACTAAAGAAAATGCATTGGCACTACAACTTCACAGTTTATTTCAAATATATTTAGTTCTTAGAACAGAAAAAGATACAGCAGTATTAAGAAACGTTACAACTACTACCTTCATGCTATCTGGCACAGAAGTTAGTTCTGCCAGACTTAGAAGATGAACATGAATTTCTGTCTTTGTTCAGCAATAACCAGTGATTCAGGAGTGATTCTGCTATCTCAGAGGACAGTTTCTGTGCTTGTGGACCAGGACGAAATAGAGTATTTATAATTGAGAGTGCACAAGCTGCTCCTTGCAGCAATGGTTTTTTTATCTAAGTTCAGAGAAACATTTTAGTCATTCTAGTGGAAGGTAATGTTAACAGAGGAACTAGCAAGATAATAAAGATTCTGAAAAAAAGACTCCTCAAACTCTTTGCTGCCCTCTTAACTAGTACTTAAATAAGCCCTAAATCAATTCGGTGGGAAAAAATCTTAAAGCAAAATGCCCACATCATTGCATGAAAGGCTGATGAAACTCAAAACATTTCCCTGGGACAAATCATATTTTCCTCTAAGAGTCACCAGAAACAGAAAACTTTGTACTTTTAAATAAAAAGCATCTAATGCATCTACGTATCTTAGCACTGTTCCAAGAGGTCAGCAAAGCAACTAATTTCAGAATTTGTATGAGTATGCCTCATAAAGTACAACGAAGGATACAAATGCAAATTCCTGCCTGACTTGATAAATATGAGAAAACTTACTACGGGGTATTCTTTCTTTTTCCAGCCAATACTGGAAAACAGGGAGACCCCCTAGATTACTAGAAACATCCTGGTGGAGTTTGAACTTTCTGAAATTACTACTTTTTTTGTAATTGCCATTACAATAACAGGACAAGTTTTAAAAGAATGCCATCAGCGCACACGAGGGTTGAAACATCACATCCACTACTGATACTTACTAGTACAATAAAACTAGCAACGTAAGAGTCTACTTCACTACTGTCACGGAGAATCTCAGCTGTAAAAAACGAGTATAAAGCAAGCTACGGATGAAGACACAGGACTTCACCGACAATTCTCCCTTCACTCCACTCATCCTTCTCTCTGCCTGCTGCAAGGTACAGGAAGGCATTTGTTCTTTCAGCCAACACTTTCACTAAGTGACCTAGATAAGCCTTCCTGTTGTATGAACAGACAGGTGTTTTTATGTTCAGGATAACGGTTTTAAGTACCTTCCACCAATTTGCCACTTCAAATTAAACCATGATACAAGTTATTAGAAGACAGTGACCACTTGGGGGCTGAAATCACCTAAGGCTTTAGCAGAAGGCTGCAACATGCAATTTTTGTATGACAGTAACTTCACAGCTATACCAATACAGCACTCAGTGTGAAGTGACCTAAGAAAGCTTTCTCCTAGTTCAGCTGTGGAAGCAGTTGAGGTTAAAAAACAAAGGGCATTCATGCCAGAATAAGAGTGAACAATGGGAAATTACATCAGTTCAATAAATATTCAGACTCAACTTCATTTTTATTAGTGTAAACTTCCTTGTACAGAAGAATCCTACTTAGATATACATTCCCTGTCTTAATTAACTACACTTTATCATCCATTAATGTTTGAAAGTGAATTGTAGATGAAGATCACAAGTTGCACCAATGCTATTTGGCATCTACATTATTGAGATGATTATTTTGCAGTCCCATTTGGGACTGTATAAAAATAGATTTTTGTAGTAAGTTTCATTTCAGTAATGTTTTATTGATGGTATTCTTGGGAAACCAAAGTCCTCACTAGGACACATGACAAAAGAATGCGCTTCTTCCCAGGAAGCAGCTGGACTGCCACCTTGTAATGGACTGCCTCCAGGGGAATGGGATGCCTAGAAAACAGAGGGTTTTGAAGCCACAAGGCAACTGACAAGTGAGGACAAAGCTGGTGAAGTTTGATTACACACAACCTTGAAGCACAGAGTGGCTTCAAATGTAGTTTAGGCTTTTGTTCCTTGTCTGCTCTGCTCTTTTTGGAGAGGGGGCGGGTAAGACGTGTGCAAACACACCTTACAAACGACAGAAGTATTTTCCATAGGAAAAAACATATTCTAAAACAGCCTTAGATCAGCACATAACATAAGCACATGCTATAAAAAATGTGAAAGTGCTTTTTTTCCTCTACGCAGTACATTAGGACTTCAGCTAAAATATTGGACACAGTCCACATCGTAAAATTCTTAATGCTACACACTAAAAAACCCATAATAATGAGTAGACCAAGCAGCAAATCTTTAAGACAGCAACCAAACAATCAGACCTCTAGAAAACATAACCTACAAAGAAAGGCTGAGTAAACTATGCTAATTTAGCCAGAAGGAGATGACTAATGGGGATAAATGTGTTCTCCATAACAACAGTGCACAGAACAGGGAAGATCAAACACAGGAAGGGAAAATTAAATTATATACTGGGAAACATCTTCTAATGATAAAAGACAGCAACACACTAGAACAGGCTTGGAAGGAGTTTATGAAGTGTCCATCCTTGCAGGTTCTCAGGAACGGGCAGAACAAACATCAACACAGACCGATACATGTACTATTGATAGTATCCTCAGACAGAAGGATGGATGAGATGAAACTCTCCTAAACACAAAAAATACCACACAAGTTGGCATTTTTCTACCAGAATCTACAGTTTAAGTCATTGGTCTTTGAAAACCTTTAAAAGTCTTGTTCATAGAAATTGGAAACCTATGAAATTCACAACCTATGTAAAGTAACAAACCCAAATGCCACAAAAGCTTTCCATGAGATTAAGCAGCTCTTTGGTTTGCAACTTCAAATAAGAAATATTCTTTGAAAATAAGTACTGCTCATTTTGTACATGCTATCAGCCTGTGGAGAAAGTAGCTGGAAAACACAGGCTTTTGAGCCAAAAAATTTTTGGTGTTAGATACGGGTCAAGAGACATGGGACATTTCACTAGTAACAGCATAGAAAGATCTAAAAAGTAGTGCTTAGTGCTAAAGAGCCAGGAAAACTGTCATTCTATCTGCAAGCCACTAAAACAGCAGTGGTAACAAAACCCATATAGAATAGAAAAGCTCCACTGGCAGTTGACAGAAGCCATTGCTAATTGATTGCTGTAGTTCACAAAAACATGGGAGCACTCAGTCAGTAAAAAAAAAAAAAAGGCTCTCCCCACAGAAGAAAAACAAGAAAATACGTGCAAAGATAAAACCACATCAAGGAATCAGAAAACTCGACTTCTGATACAAATAGAAAAGATGGATGAATTCACAGAATAGGGATACAGAGTTGTTTTTTCAAGAGATATAGAGCATATATATCTGAAATAGGTAAAAAAGTTTCCTCAGATACATAAAGACCAAAAATAAGAATTTAAAAATTGCTACTAACCATGGAAACACACAGAAAACTGAAACAGAAAGGTTTGGTACTAGGGCTGCTAAAAAGGAAGAGGAAAACTGACCTACTTTACAAAGTGCTGAGCACACAGTACTGGATTTATCCAAATGTCATTATGTTCACAGAACCCCTATACCTTACAAGACCTAGCAAGTTCTGGAAGAGGAAATAAAACGTAGGGTAGAGCAGCAAGCAGAAGCAGGCTGGTTTGCTACGGTAATAACTGCCTCCACTGACGAAGCATAGCCGCTCTAACGAAAAATGAGCCAAACCATATAGATATGATCCTGGGAAAGAAGAGTCACAAGGATAGATTCAACAACCAGCCCAAAGACATGGAATTCTGTACTCAATCTTTTTTTTTTTTCACCTGAAATAGATTTTGTCTTTCTTTTCCTTTATTATGCCCTTTTCCTTCCTTCCTGAGTAATCCCTAAGTCAGAGACTACTAGAGGTAAAGAAGGAAAAGAGCAAGAGGACTCAGTTAAAATCTCAGTCTATCTAGCAGAAAATCTGTCATGTTAGTATAAAAGCACAACTCCTATATATTTTTAAATACTATAACATTGCTGTTTCCTTTATTTATTGCTATAAGAAGGAAAAAGAAAAACAGTATTAGTATTCCAGTTCTCACTGCCCAACTTCACCTTGAGTTTGAAACATACGGCACTTTCAGAATTCAGTCCTGCAAATGGCCAGAATTAGTAACTATCCTAAAATTTTGGAGTACTTGATCTTAGATTTCATATAAATCGTAAATGTCTGTCAGATTTATGAGAGTGACTAGTCATATATTCTACAGTGGATTTAGTTGCTTATTTGAAGATTAATGACCCAGCAATGAATACAGGTAACTGTGGATTATGATGAAGTGGAATTCACTTGATTCAATGCTGACTCCTCATTTTATCTATTTCAATTATGTGGTTCAATCACAGTAATAAGATCTTTTTTTTGTTTGTTTTTACAGGTAAAATTATGGAGATTTGCTAACTAAATCTGAAGCCCTGAAAAAAATACAGAAAAGGTCTGAAATTCACATTCCCTTAGTATGCTAAAAATATATTAAAGACATCAAAGCACCTAAACCTTTGGAATTTCCTCAGTCTCAGAGTAATTATTAGGCTCTCATCACACTGGACAAGGCAGAAGAAACAAATGTTGTGGCATTTGTACATTTGGTTCATCCAGCATTTCTCCAGTCAAAACACAGCACCTGAATGAGGGCAAAATTAACCCCACAAAGATGGTGTAGAGCATTCTTGGTGTACAAAGGATAGTTTTAACATGGACTCATTCTTCAGCCAATTTACTTTACACTATTTTTTTAAATAGTCTAAAATAACAGTAAGTCTCCACTATAGACTAAAAACTGTATTAAACTATACAAAACTATGTATATTAAAGCAAATGGATATTATACTTCTTAAACTCACAAGTCTATTTTGTGAATTATATTTCTTAATATATAAGCTGATTTTAAAACCAGTAAAATTATTTCTAAGTCAATAAATGGTCAAAGCTCATTTTACAACAACAGAAACACTTAAACCAGAAGACTGCAATATACTAGAACCAAATTGCCTTAGGATAATCCTCCTCCTTTTTTTCTGTGGAAGTTTCCACAAAATAATTCAATACTTTTAAAATAGAAGCTAACAAAAAGATTTCATTTCAACATTTGACTTCTGAATTTAAAACAATTTCTCATTACAGATGTTGCAAAAGCCAGAGTAGCAGGTATGTATCACCAAGTTTGAATAGGCACTTTGTTTTTTTCTTTTAAAAAAAATACTTACACATCCACAAATAGTACATAATCTTTACTGTCTTCTGGAATTCTACAGGAATATCTACAGAAAAGTCCTGGTAGAAACAAGGACCTACTGGAAAATTCTCAGGAAGAGGTGGCCAGTTACTTTTTCTACCTGCAAAACAGAAAAAAACAAGCTTTATAATACAGTTTTAATCTCCGTATACTAGAAAGAGATATGCATTTGGACTTGTTCAAATTGTTTTATGCATGAGTTTCAAGCATATGGATAACTTGGGCATATGGATAACTTGGGCTATCAAAATTCAAGAGTTTTATCAGCAATCCTCACACAATATTGAAAATAAGCTTCAGAAATAAAATACAATGAAGTGAAGACAGATCAAGGAAAGTACAATATTTTATCTATGTAAAAGACTAAGCAGGCCTCTGACAGTTCCTATAAAGTAATGAGAAAAGAGAATTCTTCACAAAACAAGCAGATATGGGCAGAAAAACAATTTCTCGGAGTTCCTTGACTTTTAAATGCATATTTCCCTGAAGTCCCACCATACTCACATAGTTTGTTGAACACAAAGACTGGGGACTGAAAAGCATTCTTCATTCTCAGAATCCTGATATTTTTAACATCAGGCTATCTCTTAACACTTTGAACGAGTTCCCAATACAGTTTACAGTCAAAACTTCACCTAAAAGCGCATAAGCCTCAAGAAAGGCAGCTATTGAAATGGTCTGAACTACTTTGTTATTACTAGAAGATGCCCTACAGCATCACTGTATTTTGAGACAGTTGTGTGACAGAGTGAGGACACCACAAAGGACACAGTATCAGACACCCGGATTTCCTGTATGCTCATCTGCTCATAGGTTACAGTATACATTGTGCCGAACACAAGTCATACCAAGCGCAGACTCAGATTCAACTGAGAAAATAACTGCAACAAACCTTTACCATAGCATTTCAAATTCTGAATGCAAGAGGTACATTAATCACCACATTCCAAAAGTGGAGCTGAACTAGAGACTAACCTAAAGGCATTTTTAATTTGAAATTCTGACTAAGTATTACTTGCAATTTCTATCTTCAACTATACCGTTACTAGCAGTTCATCTGGTAAGAACGGAAAACTTGCAAAGCTTACATACTTGCATTATTTCTTATTTGTTTCCCCACTCGGACAAGATGAAGCTGTCAGTTTTGTCCAAACAGGTCCAAGCACTGAGTATGTGTTAAGTTTTCTGCCTCTTCTAACTGAAGTTTTTACCAAGCCTTTTAGAGCAGGGGATTGGCAGAGGAAGCATACAGAAGGTAACCAAATAATATTCCCATCCATATTAAAAACTACTTTGGGATTTCTTATGTGAAAAATACCTGATAATAATTCAGACCTTCATTCTACAGTATATGGTTATTTCCCTCAGAACTGATAGTTTCAAGACAGAGTTATGGAAGAAGTCAGGTATCTTACAATAATTCAAGTTATTATTTAAGAATTCTATTTCATGTGCTTTCCCGCTGCAGTGGTACAGGTTTCAAAATTTTCAGCTAAGACTGAAAGACAGCTTGGTGAGACGGTTTGAGATCAAAAATCAAGCGGTCTTTTTCTAAATACACTTCAGATACTCATATTTCAAGACTGTATCTTGATAAGCGAAGAGCTAGCTCAGAATTATTTCATCCAACTTAAGTTACCACTTCAAGGTCTATTAACATAACTTCAGTGGCATGCCTACACCATGAATGCACACACCCCCAAACTAGCTTCCTGCAAGCACAGAAAGGGATTTTCAGGCATGCCCAAATGAACTAGCTGAAATAGGAAGCAGCATACTTTAATTAGCTCAAATGCAATGCTGCACAGGACCTGAGCAGAAAAGACCAAAGGCATCGAGCTGAGCTGACCTACCAGTTTGAAGATCTTTGCACTGTAGTCAATTGCATATGACGACAGTGTCCCAGATGTGCAGCCAGCATCTTAAACTGAATGCAAATAGCTATAGTATTGCAAAAGACCCTGTCCTCCAATCAATACAACTCTACAGTGTTTCCAAAGGAGTTCAAATGAGTGCGCAAAAGAAAAAAAAAAAAATCAAAAGGAAAAGAGTATTTTTCTCCCCGGTCACAATACACAATTCCTGATTTGCAGCATCTTTTACACAGTCATTTGGTAAAAAACTAGTATCTTCTTTAAAGCTGTAAGAGCTCTCTCTTCTCTGTTCAGCATTCCTAAAGAATCCTTTAGATTCTTCATGGATTCTTCAAGTACTTTGATGTGAACAACTGCAACCTAATAACAAATACCCATTTTAGAAATATCCTGAAACATGCATGGGGTATCAGAGTTATGTTCCCTACGATACAGATGAACAAAACTGTCCCTAAAGCCTGGAAAAGTAATCAATCCAGACCATCAATATAGGTTAGTGAAATTAGATGAAGGGCAATACATGGAGAAGGACATGAAAAAACAACCAAAAAAATCATCAGCTGGGAGTAGAGGTACAGAGATTTAATAGAGAGATTGAAAAGAACAAATACTGAGAAAATAAAAATGATTTAATGAAGGGACAATATCATCACGATTCTTTTCCTCAGAAAAAGAATAGCAATTCCACATTCCCAGATCCTAGCAAATGAGTGGCATATGACTGCTTTCTACAGCTTCCTGACGAGCGGAAGTGGAGAGGGAGGTGCTGATCTCTTCTCCCTGGTATCCAGTGACAGGATGCGTGGGAATGGTTCAAAGCTGCGCCACGGGAAGTTTAGACTGGACACTAGGAAGCATTTCTTTACCGAGAGGGTGGTCAAACACTGGAACGGGCTTCCTAGAGAGGTGGTCAATGCCCCAGGCCTGTCAGTGTGTCAGGGGCATTTGGACAATGCCCTTAATAATACGCTTTAACTTTTGGTCAGCCCTGAATTGGTCAGGCAGTTGGACTAGATGATCGTTGTACGTCCGTTCCAACTGAAAATATTCTATTCTATTCTATAAAATACCCTGAGAATTTGAATTACTACATAAGCAATTCTGCAATCTGGAATTGTACCACTGCATGTTCAAAAAAACCACCACATGTGGAAATAAGTCAGAATTCTAGATACAAGTGAGAAGATCACACAAAGTCAACCTTGCATACAGTGTTTTGTGTTTTGCTTTCGTTTTTTTCCTAACTTCAATCTGAAGTTCTTCCTTTTGAAAAGGAATATTCCCATAGATCTACTTCTAGCAAAGTATCTTCAGTTAAGAGGATTTAAATCTTCTCATTTGTGAAATCGCCATACAAAACCTGATGGTTTTGCACAGCACACTTAGTTTGTGGCAAAATGAGGTACTAATCTTGACTATGGGTTCCAAAGTGTCATATGAAAAATTATTAAAAGATTAATAATAGAATAGATCTTTCTGCTATTTGCATAGAATATTCATGTCTGTTACATAGCAAAAGATAAGAAAATGTTTCAAAACAGGGAAGTTCTCCTACAGCTATAAATACTGGCAAAAGAGAAATCAAAGAGATGTTACTTACGAAGTTACTTTTATTTCTTCGCAAAATGCTCCATTTTTATTCAATAGTATTAGTTAGATATTAACCTAGAATAAAAATAGCTAATGGCAGAGAGTAACATGTAACAGAGGCCACATTTAAAATTTTTACAGTGAAAATCTGCACAGGACAGGCCAGTTTTTATACACTGCATGCACTGTCTCAAAGGAGATAAACTTTCTTTTCCTGAAGAGATTCTAAAACCCTCTCTTTGATCTGTTTCACAATGTCACTGTAAAACTAAAACAGTTTCTAAGAAAAAGTGAAATTTCTGCAATTTAAAGAAGTATTTTTTCATGCATACCCCCCTGCTGATTAAGACTCTGCATTTCCCTTTCTCTGCGATCCAGTTCAGCTGCTTTTCTTTCCAGTTCTTCTTGACGCTTTAGCAGTTCTGCCTGGGCCAAGGCATGCTCCTGAACAAAACAAGCATCATTAGATATTGATAAAAAATACAAACACAAAATAAATATTCCAAGACTGTTTTCCATAATTAAGCATTTCCAGTTATGGATGAAGACTGATCTAATATTGCACGAATTCATGCATTGTATGATTACTTAAAGGCAGTATTAATTTTAATAAATCATTAGGAAAGCAATGCTTATTTAAAAAAGACATTATTCCAGAAGTTTATTTAAATACTTATAGTTAAAAGGAATCTAGTGCCTGAAAGTTACAGACAAACCTTTGCAATTTGTGTGTAAGCAGGTGGTTCTTCTGTTGGTTTCATTATTGCTGGCTGGGTACTGGGTACATTAGGCATTTTCACACTTCCTGGAGGAGGCTAAGAAAACGAGAGACAATTATAGGAAAAGAGCTTCCTATTCTAGTAAACACCTTTTCATTAACTCTGTAAGAACCAATCTAGTTCTTTTAAAGGAAGTGTTACTGATAAACTGAAAATCTGATATGCTGCCTGCAATATTTGTAACTGTCGTGGTTTAACCCCAGCCGGCAACCAAGCCCCACACAGCCACTTGCTCACTCCCCCTGGTGGGATCGGGGAGAGAATCAGAAGGGTAAAAGTGAGAAAACTCATGGGTTGACATAAAGACAGATTAATAGGGAAAGCAAAAGCCACGCACACAAGCAAAGCAAAACAAGGAATTCAGTCACTACTTCCCATCGGCAGGCAGATGTTCAGCCACCTCCAGGAAAGCAGGGCTCCATCACGCATAACGGTTACTTGGGAAGACAAAACGCCATCACTCTGAATGTCCCCCCCTTCCTTCTTCTTCCCCCAGCTTTATATGCTGAGCATGATGTCATATGGTATGGAATATCCCTTTGGTCAGTTGGGATCAGCTGTCACAGCTGTGTCCCCTCCCAACTTCTTGTGCACCCCCAGCCTGCTCGCTGGTGGGGTGGGGTGAGGAGCAGAAATGGCCTTGACTCTGTGTAAGCACCGCTCAGCAGTAACTAAACCATCCCTGTGTTATCAACACTCCTTCCAGCACAAATCCAGAACATAGCCTCATACTAGCTACTACAAAGAAAATTAACTCTATCCCAGCCAAAACCAGCACAATAACCTTTAGGAAAAAGAAGTTAACTATATTCTGTGGTACAGTGTTCTGCTTATTTGGTTTTACGCTGCACTACTTCCCATAAATACGTATGGAATTTTAGGGATCAGTAGAAAGTAACCAGAATTTAATTTTGTTCAGACATAAATACGTATAAGGAGAGTTACTGTTTAAGAGAATTGCAGGATTTAACAGTGGTCTATTCATATTCTGAAACATGATGCCATTTGTCAGTAACGTCTTCCAGAGCTTTCTACTTAACAAAGGCTTGTATCACCTGGCTAACTAGAGAAGCAATGTACCATATTAAATTTTCCAATTCAAGATCCATAACCTATTGCTTAACTATTCCATGAGTATGTACCGTAGTATCTAGTTTCAAGTTTCACTGGCAATTCGTTCACTTGGTCACTGCCTATAAGAATACAGCTTACAGGAAGCTTTTCGTAGCTCAGTTTTTTCCTTTTTTCTTTCTTTCTTTTTCTTTTTTTTTTTTTTTTTTTTTTAAATCCTCTCCTCCTTATTCCCATTTGTCATCTTCTCTGACTTTCTCCACATCTCTCTATCATACACAACGTTAATCAGTAGCTATCAAACCAAGGAAAAAAATACTGCCTAGATTGAAGTTACCAAATGAACTTTACCAAAGCAGATCAGTATAGTACTACTATGATGTTATTTTATTCTTAAATATGCTTGGGGGGAAACTACAATTCTTTCTTCGTGTAGAGCTTGCAACATGAAAGACTTCCCTGTTCTGTGATCTTGTAAGACAGAAAACCACTTGTTCCTAACAAGACTGAAATCAAGAACAAAAATACGGTGAGAAGTGTGGTGTTTTCAATACAAAAGCACCTTAAAATAAAGCTGGAATCAACTAAATACCACCACTAACTTGGCAAATTATGACTTGGCCCTGCATTTTATTATCTGCATTTTTTCTAACTATCTTTTGAAATGCACAAATGCAATACACTGAGGAGAAAACATCATGCCTGAGTGAACTCCACCTCTGTGTGTGATATTGCAGCATATCTCAGCAACATCAGCTGATTCTAGCATTTCAAAATTATCTTTCCACCTTATACATCAGCTCCTAACAGAATACTGAGACATCAGGGAGGTCTGATTTCTCAGAAATGCTTGGTGATTTAAGCTTTTCATCCTAAGAAAGATTACTCAGTGCTGTAGGATGAAGACAACCAAAGGCTAACTGCCGGGTCCTGCACTTGCGTCACAACAATCCCCCAGAACACTACAGGCTTAGGGAAGAGTGGCTGGAAAGCTGCCCAGAGGAAAAGGACCTGGGGGTGTTGGTTGACAGCAGGCTAAACATGAACCAGCAGTGAGCCCAGGCGGTCAAGAAGGCCAACGCCATCCTGGCTTGTATCAGAATTGGTGTGGCCAGCAGGACTAGCGAAGTGATCGTGCCCCTGTACTCGGCACTGGTGAGGCTGCACCTCGAATACTGTGTTCAGTTGTGGGCCCCTCACTACAAGAAGGACATTGAGGTGCTGGAGCGTGTCCAGAGAAGGGCAACAAAGCTGGTGAAGTGCGTGGATCACAAGTCTTATGAGGAGCGGCTGAGGGAACTGGGACTGTTTAGCCTGGAGAAGAGGAGGCTGAGGGGAGACCTTATCGCTCTCTACAACTACCTGAAAGGAGGATGGAGCGAGGTGGGTGTCAGTCTCTTTTTCCACATAGCAAGTGATGGGACGAGAGGAAATGGCCTCAAGTTGTGCCAGGGGAGGTTTAGATTGGATATTAGGAAAAATTTCTTCACTGACAGGGTTGTCAAGGTTTGGAACAGGCTGCCCAAGGAAGCGGTTGAGTCACCATCCTTGGTGTAGACGTGGCACTTAGGGACATGGTGAACTTGGCAGTGTTAGGTAAATGGTTGGACTCAATGATCTTAAAGGTCTTTTCCAACCTAAATGATTCTATGATTCTATGAAGCTGGTTAAAGACGGTTAATACTGCTATTCCTTACATTGAAGCATTCTGTGATAATGAAAACTGTGATAAGGAAAAAGGCCTGTATGAGAACTCCTACAAAAACTAGACAGCCATCAAGAGTCTTATCTTCTGCTTCAAACATAAGATACAAAATCTGCACCAGAGTAGCAAAAAGCTACTGAACAAAAACTCTTACGCATTATGCACTGTAGGCCAGAGCAATGCTACAAAAGCAAAAAAAAAAAAAAAATCTGATTATTGTAGCTCTGTGGCTAAAGTAACAATAGCTTTGAAAGCATAACTGATAAGCAGCTGCCTGCTAGACTAATGAGCAAGAGTTCACAATTTCCAGCAAGGTCTCCAGTAGCCGTCCCATAATACTGTAAAAAGTAACAGTAATATTACCTGTAATAGTGTAAAAAGGTGGATTGTCAGACCAGAAAATATTTGAACAATGAATTCAAAATATTTATCCTTGAAAGATGCTTTGTCCAAACAGCCTGCAGTGCTGCTAATGACTGGAACATGCATATATGCTTATGAATAAAGGAACCAATGAGAAAGCTCACTAGAGCTACATAATCAAAGATGTTAGCCAACAGCATATATGATATATGATGTTAATATAAGGTACTAATTATGTACAAGATTCTCCCGATTCACATTTCTACATTGTTTAGGTTCCATTATATGCTAGCTGGCCATCTATACGGTGTTAGACTTGCTGTCTACTGTACACATAATGACAACTGTGTAAAAGACCCAGTGCCTAGATAAGAGCCTGTGCTCCCTGGAAGAAATGAGACTACACCAGTGATTTGTAGCAGGGGCTGTGCATCCAGGAATCCTAAGAAAGTCAAGAGGGGCTGGGGGACAAAAGCTGTTAAGGGATGTTACAAAGGCTACCACTTCCAGCAGATTCTGAGACCTGGGGACTCCTCCTTTCTGACTGCTGGAGCCCAGAGACCCTCTGAGGGCTCTCCATTCCAGGCTGACGGGAGACAGCTATTGCTTTCCTGTTTCCAGGTTCAGCTAGTAGCAAGTTGAGGGCCTATCCCAGGGATGCATACAAATACACACACACCCGCACACTCCAAGGACACTAGGATGGCCAGCTACACAAGCTGCCACAGACAGGACACTGCCTCTAACAACACCCCCACAAAACACTATCCATAATATTCATGCTTATCTTGTTTCTTCATTCTTCTCAGTTAAAAAGTCCAGGTTGACTGGACTTCAAAGCCCATAAACTAGTGGCTGAAGAGTTTTGGTCTTCCATTCCATAAGTTATCACTTATCTATGAGGTTTGTGTTTCTGCCTTTGTTTATTGCTTTCCCTTGTACTTATTACTCCCTTTGAACTCAAAAAAGTCTACAACCTTTACGAAACAGACGCTCTCACGTTCTACATATCCTTACAGTAACCAGTATGACTGACTTGATTATTTGGACCATCATGGAGGTTTGCAACTGAAAGGCTACCATGACTTTGACAGGGATGATATGTGATTAAGAATCATGTATACCTTTGGATACTCTGTAATAATATGATTGAGATTATGATCTTCCTTTAGGCCTCAGCCCCTCAAAAACCATATAGCCACATCACTGTAGTAACATGAGGGAGGATACTCCAGGCTTATTATTTCAAGCACTGCAGTGCAAGGAAACAGCTGCCCTGAGTCTCATGTTGTTAGATCTGTGTGCTACAGTCCATTACTTAACGCAGTAATGATGCGGCAGTCAAGGCAACTTTAATCTCTGTTCGAAGGTTGAAGTCCCTGTCTGTGTAGAGGTCTGCTAAAAACCAACAAAATAAACCCTAAACAAAGAAAAAACCCAACCAACAAACAAAAAACCATTTATGACTAGTAGAACTTTTCACGACCCCCCTGCCCCTACTTGCCCAGTAAAGAACTTGTACCTTCTGGCCTCTTAAGTTTTTGAATCCTTTTAAGAGGTTTTTCTATACTGAGTGTGATAGCTGTCACTTTTCCTTCCTCTGGTACGAAGCCAACTGAGGTACATTCCAGTTCATGCTTAGCAATTTTCCATCTTAGTTTTCTTAACACTCAGCTGACTACCTATTTCTGGCAACTTATCGCTTCTCTAAAGCCTCTTCTATTGAGAATTCAAGTTTAAGACATCTCTCCTATAAAGAAACAATTAATTTAGCTTTTTCCTACATAATTATCTTCTATTAGTACTTTAAAGTCTTTAAAGATGGCAGAAGCTTCCTGCTTCCAGGAAAGAAAGTTTCCCAAGTTGTTCTACAAGTTCTTCCTGAGAGCTT